GCCCTACCTCACCCCTACCCTGACTGATGGGCCATCCATGAGGCAGTTGCCCAGGGCAGAGTTTGGCCCAGATGCCCAGCTCAGGCTGGGAGGCGGGTGCCCGTGTGCCAACAGCTCGTGGGTCAGTGACCACATTTGCTGTTTCTCAGAGTTGCACAAGTCGGAGTTGGACAGTCTCTCTGTGCAGTGCCCGTACAGCAAGTCAGGGTACAGTACAGGGAAAAAAGCCTGGTGTCGAAGAGAAGGTCAGAATGAGTGTAAAGTCGTGGTGAGCACAGATTACACTTCAACATGGCATAACAGCAAAGCTCTGGAAGACAGAACATTGATCCAGGATGACACCCAGAAAAGGACTGTCACCATTACCATGCAGAAGCTGCAGGTCCAGGACACCGGTGTGTACCGATGTGACCTCTACAGAGGCTCTCACCTTACCCGGATAATGGAGGTCAGCCTCTCTGTGTCCAAGAGTGAGTACCTACTGGCAGCCAAATGTACCTGTTGGCAGATTTCAGCCCCACCTCCCCTGCTTACTCTCCCTCCCATCCTGCGCCAGACCACAGAAGATCCCAGTGCTGCCACCACGCAGCTGACACCCATGTCTCCCTGTGTGTCTGTCTCTCTGGTGGACACAAGGGTGGCTGCCCAAGAGCCCTGTAGAGCCAAAGCTCAGGCCTGGTTCTTCATGCTCTGTCTGCTCCCAGCAGAGACTCAGGGGAGGTTCCCATGAGCTCCCACAAATGGAGCCATTCTTATCAACTGCTTCTGCAGCATTCGGCTTGCCCACGCTGGGCGCTGCTGGAGACCTCCCCCACTGCCTGGCATTGCTCTTGCTCTGGCCCCGCAACTGTGACCCCCCTCTGGTCCTTGCCTCCCAGACCTCAAAGGCTGAGTGCCTGTGAGCATGCGGTCCCTGAGGGAACCAAAGGAAGGGGACAGGACCCCACACAATTTGTGACTGACCTCTGCTCGAGCCCCCTTCTGCTCCTCATGTCTGGTGGTAGAAGGACATCCAGTAAGCATTCAGCCCACAGCACGTATTCCAGTGATGGGGAAGGGGTGCCATTGTGCCTGCTTTGGGATCTCACCAAACACACTGGGTGTCTTCCAGGGACCCAAAAATACACAGCCAAGGAGTCAGGCGATGTCTCTGTCCAGTGTCGATATAGTGCCCCAGACTATGGGGTTGTGAACAAAGCCTGGTGCAAAGAGGGAGCTAAGAAAGCATGTACCATACTGGTCAACACGAATAGGAAGCCTTCAGGGTACCTCAGGACACCTCAGCAAGGCAGAGTCACGATCCGGGATGACACCCAGCAGGGAATTGTCACCATCACCATGGAGAAGCTGCAGGCACAGGACGCTGGCATGTACTGGTGTGCGCTTTATGAACACTCTCATCTCTTCCGAATGGTGGAGGTTATGCTCAGTATTTAGGGAAACATGGTTGTTTGTAGATTTCAGACTCACTTTCCTACTCTCTCCCTCTAGTCTCTGCACTGCCCAGCTTACACCACCTCCCAGTTACATCTGCATGTGTTTGCCTGCTCAAAACCTACATCATTGTACCTTCTCACACTAAAACCATGCTATGGAATAGCAGCAGGGATCAGAACTGAATCACATGCACGTGCTGTGTTACTTCTTTTTTCCCTGAGAGCAGCTTCAGTTGTTTTCACAGAGGTGTTTCTGTCACTCATTCTCATGATTCTGCCCCTTTATAGCAACTCATCCCTTGACTTTCAAAGAGTATTAAGTCCTTCACGTTTGGTTGTCAAGGGGACAACCTTTAGACCCATATTTTAAAGATCTGTGACTTCTAAGTTTTCTTTCAGTGTGATGTTTTAACACCAAGTGGTAACACTTAGGCACCCGATTGTGGCAGACCAGCACCATGCTGCAGCCCGTCTTCTAGGAATGTGGCAGAGCAGCATTGAAAGGATACGGCAATCCAGAAGCCGAGAGGGGATGGCATAATTCTCTAGGAGCAACTCCTAACACATGGGACTGAATGCAGTCTCTAAGCGAGCAGGGTCCCCCCCACACGACCTCCCCTGGGCACAGCAACAGGCCTGGACACAATTCTTACAGCTGAGTCTTTCACAGACAATGCTTTTTGCTCAATTTTTGCAAGCCTCTGTCTGCTTAAGCACAGAGTCATTAAGTAGTTCATTGCTACCTGAAGATCTGCTCTGAAGATCAGATGCCATAGCGCATATCTGCTTGCACTTACACCACTTTCTTCTGCCATGCATTGGGGTGGGTACATACAGAGCGGGGCTCCTGGTGAGCTCTTTGCCCCTCCTTCCCATGTTTTGATCTTTATGTTGCTTTGCCTGCTGCCAGAAAGTCTTGATGACACAGGTTACAGCCTGGGCAGATTGTCTGTGCTGGGTTTCACAGTGGGGTTTGATTTATATCCATGTAGCAATGGCTGGGAAATCTAGCTGGTAAATGCAAAGCAGCCCAGTAGTGATTATTCTTCTCTTCATGTTTGTGATTGCAGTATCGGCTGGAACAACTTCGTCAGGTACTACAGGCACAAGTCAAGCAACCCCTTCTCTCAACATCCCAGAACCGAGGTAAGGCCTAAATCTGTCTCTGGGCTTGAACAAAGACAAGAGTTATAAATGCCTCATCCACAATACACCTGTCTTCCTGGGGTAGGCAGGCTCTAGGCATTCTGAAGACTCCTTCTTATAGAGGAAGAGAGATGACAGGCATCCTTATCAAACATGACCTTTTGCCATGGTTTAACCCCAGCCAGCAACTAAGCCCCACACAGCTGCTCGTTCACTCACCCCCAGTGGGATGGGAGAGAGACTCGGAAGGGTAAAAGTGAGAAAACTCATGGATTGAGATAGACAGTTTAATAGGGAAAGCAAAAGCCTCACATACAAGCAGAGCAAAAGGAATTCATTCACCACTTCCCACCAGCAGGCAGGTGTTCAGCCGTCTCCAGGAAAGCAGGGCTCTGTCACACAGAACAGTGACTTAGGAAGACAAACGCCATCACTCCAAACGACTCCCCTTCCTTCTTCTCTCCCCAGCTTTAGATGCTGAGCATGACATCATATAGTATGGAACGTCCCTTGGTCAGCTGGCGTCAGCTGTCCTGGCTGCATCCCCTCCCAACTTCTTGCTGGTGGGGTGAGAAGCAGAAAAGGCCTTGACTCTGTGTAAGCACTGCTCAGCAGTAACTAAAACATCCCTGTATTATCAACACTGTTTTCAGCACAAATCCAAAACATAGCCCCTTACCAGCTACTATGAAGAAAATTAACTCTATCCCAGCCAAAATCAGCAGGCCTCTCCTCTTCCAGCTCCTGCCCAGAGTGTAATTACAAAGGAAAAAGCAGATTGGTAAAATCAAGTCATAGCTTTCTGGAATGTAGATGCCTATCTACTTTTTTATCCTTATCTCTTCAGGCTGTGCTCTTTGCAGCAATAGAAACCCCCAGATTCTGCCCCTAAACCTTTCTGTCTCAACTTTGCACACTCCTATCCATGAATATTTAACAACGAAATAGTCCTTGGCTGCCATTTTATCCTTCTGCTTTACCAGGCTGTTAAATGTAAAGGATTTTCTTCCCCTTTGTACATCTGGTGTCATCAACACTACAGCAGCATCTACGAGTACAATCATACATCAGGTCCAGTGTGCCAGGCGCAGCAAAACACAGGAGGAAACGGTGGTACCTGCTCCAGACACCCTGGAACTGTGCTCTAAACTTTGAACAGTGGCTTGTTTTTAAAGCCCAGAGAGTAACTTGGGAAAAGTTCAGAAGGCACAACCAGGTAGAAAAATCAAGATAGCATTGATGCAGGAGAACCAGACCCTCCTTCCAAGTACATAAAAGCTAGTGCATTAAAGCTATTCCTGTCCCTTTTTTTGGCCACTGGTAAGGGGCTGCACCAGCATCATATTGTGCTACTAACACTGGTAACTCCTTTGCTCTCCTGGCTTCAGCTCAAATGTAAACAGCTTCATCCTACTCTATGGGGTCCTGAGCATCGTGCTCATCCTGACACTTGTCAGCCTGATAACACTGTGCATCAGACGGCGCAAGCAGCTGAAGAGAAAAGGTATGTGGAGATTGGTGATGCCTCATGTTCTAGTCTGTACTGAACAGGGCCTTCTCTGACCATCACTTTTCTACTCCAGGTGAGCTTATTCCTGGAGAAGATAAGGCTGGTGCAGCCTGGGAAGCCTCAAGGCAGGCTCCTTGCTGTGATCTCCTCTCACAATAAGTCAAAACGTATGTTCCTCCAGACTGTGCACAGGACACCTCCTAAAATGTTACAGGAGAAGTAAAGTGAGAGCAACGTGTTCACCAGATTCAGGGTAGATGGGTCCCACTGGCACACCATCGCTTCTATCACTGGAAAATCCCACAGTCTTCCCCAAAACTCCTGAAGCATAGGCAATGCCCAGGGATACTCTACTTTACTGCTAATACCTCTGATTTTGGCTCATTCCAAAGGTAACAGACAAGCAGAGGACACCTATGACAAAGCAGAGGACATAGCACAGGTAAGGAAAATGATAGATTTCCCATATGGTACCTGAATCCTTTACCAACAGTCTGTGAGGAGCTGACTGATCCATCTGATGAGGACCTTGGTGCTCCTTTTTGGTTGTAAGCAGGAGGGGAAATAGTATTTAATGTCACCAGAGAGAGAGGAATGTTCCTAGCTGGAGAGAGAGGGGGTAATTAAAGTAAGGAAACTCCAGTAAGAAAAAAACACAGTGGAGCAAATTCTAGTAATCTCTGAGAAATTACTCAAAGCCTAGAAATGAAGGTTAGATGATGGGGTTGTAACCTGTATCAAGGAGAAGTGATGACAGAAAGAGTCTTCTGGTCTTTCACCTCTGTCATGACCAAGGGTCAGTTTTTACATGGCTTCTCCTTTCCTCCTGGGAAAATCTTGTTCTTTAGATAACAGCAGTGGCCTGGCACCGAATCATGCTAACAAGTGTTTTCCCTTTCTTTTCATAGCTTGACAGCACTGAAAGAATGGAAGGTCCTGAGGATGACAGCGAAGACCTAAAATATGTTACCCTGAACTTTAAATCCCGACTCAGCCCTGAGGATCCTCTCTATTGTAATGTTGAACCAAGTCAGGCTCACAGGAAACCCAAAGATGAAAATGTGGAATATGCTATCATTGCACTCAAGCAATTACCAACGAATGATAAAGGATAAAAAACAGACTCTCAAAACAATCCAGAAATGAGAGAAAAGAACTGGAATACAAAGTGGGAATGGAGAGTAGAAGGTGTGTGGATGGATGCTGGGGGAAGATCTAAGTTTTTGCTGCCATGTGTATATTGCCTATGCATTTTAAGACCTCCCACCTATTAGCGGCCACAAATGTGCAGATTCTCTTGGGTCAGACAGTGGTGCTGGGTAATTCTCAGGGTCCCTTGCACATCTACTTTCTTCAACCTCATTAAAATGCAGACTCTTTTGAAGAGGCAGCTGTGGAGGACTGACCTTTTGAAAAAGAGCAATATTCGTCTGGGCATGGATGGGTTTGGTGTTTTAACTATGTTCACTGGTAGAAACTCTATCCCACTCCTAAGGGTATGGCCAAGCAAACTGATTCCAGTGCTCTAGGGATAAAACTCTAACCTTGCTGTGACTGGGTTCATTTGCCGTGTCATGGGTGGAGGATACGAGCACTGGATTATAATAAGCAGAACCAGCATCTACCTGAGGGCAAATAGCTTGAAGGCGTATTGCAACATGATGATACGCTGCATTGCAAACTTTGCAAACTGAGTGTTGTGCTGTATGAATCTGAGCACCAGAAGGTCTTGTAGCTACAAAACAACGGCGCATGTCAGTGATATGTACTCTATGTAAGACATAATACAAATTCTCCTATAACCTAAATTTATCAATCTACTTAGGTAAGAAGTAAAATAGTAAGCGGCTTTCAGACTAAAGCTAAATGTTTAGCTTTAGATCAAGAAATAGAGTTGCATGCCGGAGTTTGGGGGTAAGAGGGAATGAAGGTGATGACACTGACGAGTGCATGTACAAGTGTCCCTTTACGAAGTGCAGAGGGTTGTGGGATGAATTCAGTGTGGCTGCTGTAGATTACACTAATGGGAGTCTCCAACACTGTACCCTCTAGACAACTCAATTATTTCGAAGCTTGAGGGCCTGATTTGCTCTCAGGGTCACCCACAGCTGCAGCATATTTATGCAGTCTTTGAGGCCTGTACGCTGAAAACAGAATGAAACAGCAGCTGAAATCTGAAGTTACAGGCATGGCTTCCCATGCGTAGCTTGTGCAGGCTGCCCCATCCTTTCACCACTTCCTAATCAAAAAGGCCCTTACTTTGTTCAACAACTTCTGTATGGCCTGCTGTCTTACAACCTCTGTTCCCCAAAACCACACAAACTGGCTGCTTAAACCAAGGCAATGTAGAGTCAAGACAAGCAGGGAGAACCAAAAATTGGTATTTCTGGAGAAAGGCAAGAAAGGAACAACATGTGGTATTGCACTAGAAGAGTGGACAAGGGCTCTGGGACGTTTTTGAACAGAATTTGCCTTGCTGTGCTAACTGCAAGGATGAGCCCCAAGATAGACAAGAAGTACAGACAGTAGCACAGAGCAAGAAACTGGTAGGCTGTGTAAAGAAGTTGCAGGAAGTATGATACAGACAACAGAGGAAGAAGAATGAGCATAAGAGGGCTGGTCTCAGCATCAGCTGATGTAGCAGAAGGGACATGATGGTAATTGAGTGGGTTATTTACAGATGTAAACATCCAAGTAAGTCAGACACACAATACATTTATGAATCTCCAGTGCAGCTACGATGCAGGTTGGCAATTTCCAAAAGCTGCTGCAGAACACTAGACTGGCTGGGACCTCATCAAACCCTGCTATCCTGCATAATCACACCACAAACTATCAAACATGTTTTTCCAATGCATTTGGTCTCTCACCTTCATTGTTATGAGGAATCTTTGCATCTCTTCAGGAATCACTATCCAGCTAGTCTCAGATATAGCTCTGTTCTTTTGCAGCACTGAGCTGTACTTTAAACAGCTCTTTCCAGCCTATTCACCAGTGCAGCTGGTTCTTCATAAGTTCTTTGGAAGACCAATACAAACCAGCATGTGTACTTTCAGCACTTTTCATTCGTTGGCTACACCATAGAAAGCAAGCTTTTGTGGCTTCTTTTAAAGTTACAGGAGACCAGAAATGCATATGCAGTTTCATGTTGGAGCTCACCAGGGCCTTGGAAAGTGACACCATTACTTCCCTCCCTAGGCTGGAAATACTCCAAATGACACACTTCCTGCCTTTATTTAGCAGTCATGTGGCAAGCAATATGAAATGAGTTTGCTGGGGCTCAGCCCAACTTCTCCAAAAGACCAGAAACCCTGTCACTTTATTTGGCTGCACCAAGCTCTGCAGACAGGTGGCAAATTAAAGGGGCCTGAACCACTCCCTATTCATAAGCCAGTCACATCCTATAGGCTTCTCTTGCTATGGATGCAGCAGGGAAGCTGATCTATTTTTTGAGATTTTCAGAGTTGACATGTTTAACTTGAAATGACAGAAAGAAAAAGAAAATGGTTCTGGAAATGGTTCATTCAGCCCAAGATTCCCCTAACGATTTGCTATTCATGCAGTCAGTTAGTTACACTGGGTCAAACTGTGGAAGAGTAATAGTAGAGAACAATTGAGTGGAAGAGAGACATTTTCAGGGACACAGTGTCTTCCAATCAAAGAGAATCCATATTTGTGCTCACTGGAGCAAGAATGAACAGAAACTGCAATCAGTAAGCCTCACAGAGAATTTCTGGATACCGTAAGGTACCATTTTCTTCAACAACAATTTGAGGAAAGAAAAAGAAGGTGTATTTATAAATGGATAGACCTGCAGGTTTCTCTGCCTGTTAAGAAGCAGATAAGCACACAAGTTAAGAAGCCAGGGTCTATTTGTACTTGCATGGAAGATCCAAGTAAATAAATACAAAAAAGAAAAAAACAGCAACCCATCCACAGCCTGCCAGTTTGCTAACACTTAAAGGAGGCTCCCCAACTGCAGTCCTGAACTACTGCATCAGTATGGCACTGATCAGCTCTGAATCAATGCCCCCATCCCTTGATCTTATGTCCTTTCTGCTACGTAAAAAATAAAGATGTCTGTTTTGCTCATTTAAAGCACCTCACAGCTGCACCCAACACACTGTTCTTGTCTTCCTGTCTTTGGTTATATGTCAAATAGGAATGCTCCATGCGCAGGCTCTTCGAAATCTTCCTTCTCCTGAAAATAACCCACAAGATTGTGTCCTTGCCGTCCCTTCACCCTTGTGATGCTGACTGAGCTATCTGCAGAGTCTTGATGAGAGCCTCCCTTTCCCTTTGGCTTTCCAGAAATTCACCCCATGCAAAGCTTGCATGTAAAGCCTGCTGTGGTGGACAGGCACCATTGCTGAGCTAAGAGGGACTCCCAGTGCCGTGGTTTCAGGCCATCACATGATGCGCTCTTTCAGGCTGTCTGGATTAAATTGTGGCTGTGAGTGGGCAATGCTGATGCCTGAATTTTCAGCCCATGAGACAAATGCACATCCTTGGTGAATTGCTCAATACTGCAGGACGAAAAAGATGCCAAGTTCCTGTGTTCATTCCTTCCGTCACAGCAAGGAGAGGGGAAAAGCAAGCTGCTCTTGGGCAAGAGCCCTTTTCACTTTTCTCCACTCTCCTCTCTTGTCCCCTTCTCTGCTCAACTGACATGGAGAAGCTCATGCACCTCACCTTCTTGGTCTTCTTGTCAGGTAAGAAAGCGTACATGGTGTTGGGTTTCAGTTAACAGATAGAGTAAAGGATCAGTGCAAAACTTAGTCTCTACCTGCACCTCGTATCAGATTGCTGATAATGTTACCGGAAAATACTATAAAGGTCTTGAAACGCAGTAGCTTTTTCCAGATGCAAAGGCATCTTTGCTGCAGCATGCAGTTCTCTGGAAAACCAATACCGACAGTTATTACGGATAAAGAGTCTTACTGCCTGTCTGTACACTGCAAGGTCCAATGCAATGCAAGCAGGGGGAACCTGGAGCATTGCCATGTGTTCTGCCCTCTACTCTTCCTCACCAATTATATTGCAGGGATGTCAGACTCCTTCCTTGGAGTTTGTTCTTTTCCTTTAATTTAACAAAGGGCCAGCGGTGATCCAAGTGCTCAGCTTTTCTCACAGGGATCCTTTTGAGACAGAACAGGAAACACTGCTGACAGAAGTCTTGTGTGCCTTTTCAGAGCGAAATGTGAAATTGCAAAATCCTATTTGTTTGCATTTGTAGGGCTTCGAATGTAAATTGCAGCAGCTAGGGTTCAAGAAGAGGAAAATGAAACTCAGTGAAGGGGACATCTCTGATATCTTGGGCACTTGACTATATTAATCTTGGAAAGCAATGTTCATCTGAAATGAGAAACAAGGCACAGGACCCAGCTGGTACTCCCAGCTGGCAGCCTTCTCTCTTCAGTCACACTTTGGAGATCCAATACTTGCAACAGTGCACAGAAAGGCAACAGATTCAGGCTTTGGGAGCACAGAAACCTGTCTCAAAAATCTGAATTAGTCTGGAAAAAAGCCCACCATACTTTTTTCAGTAGCACACAGCAAGGAAAGAGGAACACAAATAGTAAATGGTCTGCCAGCAGAATTGGTTGAAGAGATAACAACACGAAGTTTTCCACAGATGCATCAGCAAATCTTTAAATGTCATGATTCTGATTAAAATATTTTTTGCAGTGCTGTTTCTGTTTAAAACAAAATGAAAAACAAAACCCTGGGGCCACTCCAGGAACTGAAGGGGCAGAACTGGGGGTGAGGAGGGGTCCACAAGAGAAATAGGAGAGGGAGTTAAAACGTTTAGAGGGATTGCACAGGACTGGACTGGACATGCAGTGAGGTAGGCCTTAACTGGAACAACTGAGTGGAGCAACATACCAGATAAAACTTGTAGGCATTGGATACTTGGAGAGCACAGATCCATTTTTATGCCTTCAAGTCAAGCCTGAAAGACCTTCAGTTTTTTTAGTTTACAATTCACTCAGAATGACTGAAATTATTTTAAGAAGTGTTATTAAAAGGCTCAGCCAGCACCAAGTCCTCAAAACAGCCTATTTTTTAATTTACTTCTGTTTTATCATTACTTATGGTTTCACAGAAGGCATTAATCTCTGAATTTTTTCACTAGAAATACAGAGATTTTCACAAATACCACACTGCACTTCTCTCTGGAAGTATTAATAGCTCAGACTGTCCCTTCTGCCTTTGACTACCATAAAGAGGAATGGAAATTAGAAATAAGGAACTAAGGCGAAAAAAACGAAAGCAGCCAAAGACCAGTTGTCAACATGACTAAAATTAGTAGAATATTAAAAAATAGGGTGAAAAAATTGCTAAACCCCTGGATTTAGAAAATAGGAATGGGATTAAGAAGTAACCTCCTAAACGACTAGCTGGACACTGGTCTGTAGGTGTCACTTTGATTCTAGCATTTTCCAGGCCTGTGTTGCTTCTCTCTGGCTGCGTAGAGCCTTAAAATGGGGACAAATTTCATGGGCATTTACTGCAAAGGATCTTTTCCACAGCAGAGGGTACTCTAGTGCCAAATCTGCATCTACGAACATATGTGGAAGGGCTGAGCTCAAGGACAAAACCTGAAGCAAGCTGCCTTGCTGCACCTGTATGCAAGTAAGCAGGTTGGACATTGCAAAGCAGCAGCAAGGCTAGTCTAACAAGAATTAACACAGAAACAATTTGTCATTATCTGGTCAAGCTATGTTTTTATGAGCTGCCTTGTAAAAAAGAGCTTTTAAAAATCAAGACAGCTTGCCTGATGTCAATTCCATCTAGCTGAATGCCCAGCTTCATGCTTCTCAGGACCAGACAAAAATACAAATTTGTATTTAATCCCCTAATCATGCTGACAAACTGCTTCCCCTTACTGGGCAGGAGCCCAATGATTACAAAAAGTGTGATGTGGGTGAGCTCCAGACTGCAATCCAGAGCAGTCACCACAGGGCCAGAAGGGAAAGCAAGGACCAAAATTTCCTGAACTTCAGAAAATCTGCAAATATTAATGAAGCTGATCATTAGCCCACCCACAAGAATAGCTGCCTGGCTAGAGCCAAATAACACACCAGAGGGATCACTACAGACCTGTTTCAAGAAAGTCTGAACCAAGACTCTGAATCTGAGCACACTGTATCTTTCATGGGGGAAGCAGACAGGTAATAGCCCTACAGCTGACAGCAGCCACCACTAGAGTTGTAAAAGAGGAAAATGACGTTTAGCATAAACATAGCGGTAAGAAATAGTGGAAAGAGGCTTGGCTTACCACTTCCTCCTTCTCTCCTAGCATCCTGTGCTGCAGAGAACATCACTGTGGTGTATGGAATGGAGGGGGGCACTATTTCTGTCAACTGCACCTATAACCCCTGGCAGCAGCGATGGAGAGAAAAGAGCTGGTGCAAGCAGATCGATGAGACCCAGTGCCAACATGTGGTGAGCGCCCGACGCTTCTGGCTGCCATTCCTAAAGAACAGGAATGGCACTACCTCCATCAGTGACAATGTCCGTGAAGGTGTCCTGACAGTGACCATGAAGCGACTCAAGAAGCAGGATGCTGGGTTGTATCAGTGCAAAACTGACTACCTGGGGGAAACAAACAGCTTAAGGAAGGTACAAGTGGAAGTGCTGACAGGTATGTCCTGGGGCTCTGAGTTTCATGAATTCCTGAGTTCCTACTCAAATTTCACATGTTCCTGCAAATGCCAAGGCCTCACTTTAATAAACATCTACTTTTGTCTTACTCTAAAGGAGGTACTATGTTTCATTGCTTCTTTTTAGTTCCCAATTTACAGCAACATGACCTCACTGTTACAGGACATCTAACACATGTCATCCCCTTATTGCTACCCAGATTAATCTTCCAGCACACAGCCCAGTGTCCAATCTCACCTTGGTTATCTATGCCTAGATGGGCCACTGCTGTTGGTGACACCAATGAATATTACCCAGAAACACCTGCAGACTAAACTGTTCTGTTTCTACCATCAGCTGTCCTGGAGACGCAAATGCCAGAGGAGCCTAGTGCTGTGCAGAGCATCTCCAGGTAAGCCATAAAACTCATGCTGTGATCTCTAGTCTTCCTAGGACTAAGCAGATTAACATCGGCAACCCCATTTGCAGCTGAGGGGAATACCATCACAGGCATGTTCTCTACCTCTTCCTAATCCATGACAATTCTGAGCGCCACTGTGTGGCTTTTAAACAGCAGCTTTATCCTAATCCAGAAAATGCAGTGCTTCAGTGCCAAGCAAAACAACTCCTGCAGATCACAATTTATCTGTATGCGAGATGTTGCAGTTAAAAACTATTCTAGTTGTTCTGACCTCCCAGGCTCTGTTGCACCCTGGTGAAGGAGATGTTACCATCTTCACATTGTATACTACAAGGGTTTCTTTAAAGGTTGAACCGTCCCCTTCATGGTTAAGTTTTATTGTTTTATTTATGGTTCCCCGTAGCATCCCTCCTGAAGCTGATTTCACTGTCTTCTTTATCATTGCTGGATTCCTGGTTACTAAGTTCATGGTGGCTGTGCTGATCTTTATCATTGGCAACAGCAGGAAGAACAGAGAAACAGAGCACAAGAACTCAAACTTGAATGAGCAGCAGGTCCTCCCTTTCGCTAGTGACCGTGCACATGATGGAATCAGCCCCTCCTGGGAGAGCACTGCTTAGAGCTAAACCAAAGGGAATCCACAGGAAATGACCACCAAGCATTTGTAGGCAAAGCTTTGCCACCTGCCGTAAGAAAAGGATCGTCTACTAAACATGGGTACCGACGAACCTATCACTCTAGAGAGGGAATGTCACCATCTAACACCTATTCTCTTTGGCACTGACCAACTTTTTTCAACACAACTGAACTGAAAAGATGCTGCCAGTAACACCTGAACTGGAAGAGGATGGGATTGAGGGCCAGGGGGAAAGGAGGAATATGAAGTCTTTCTGTCAAGAGATCCAGAACAGACTTATCTATGTGCAGAGATGCTTCCCCAGGCATGGCAAAGGTGAGAGAGCTCTGCTCAGTTTTCCCCCAGCTCATTGCTAGGCCAGAAAACACTTTGCTGCTCTATACAGCTACTGGCAAAAACTTTGTTATAACTAAAACTACAGATACACCAGTGAACATAAATCAAAGTTCAGGTAACACATCTCAACGACCATGTGTTGAGCAACTCACAAAGACATCCACATAGTGTAAAAATGGAAAGACATGTTTCTGTCTCAAATCTCCAAGTAACTTCTCCTGATTCATTGAAGAGCAGTGTTAAAGAACTAGTAGCTTTTTTCAAGGTGCCATACATGTCTCTACAAAACGGTCAAATGCTTCCCCAAAAGCATGAAATACAACCAGAACTAGATGGTTTTCATTGAAAGCTAATATTATTATTTGTCTAGAAATCAACTTTTTAGCTGAGATTCCACTCTCTAAAGACTGAAGCTTCTGACACCCACTTTTGGCAATGCAATGCTCTGCTATCATCTCCAGTCACTGCCAGTAGCTGCACCACGCCACCAGGCAGAGTTATTCCAGATACTCATTCCCCGTATCATTCCACCAGGGTCTGAACTGAGACCCATCAATTTCATGTCATCTCAGAGCAGTGTGCCAGGTGAGAGATTCTCTCTTTCCAAGGTGATGAAGGCTAGCTCCCAAAGGTTCCCTTGGACAGTGTGGATCCTTGGTCAACAGTCACTGTGGAAAGGTGTAAGGAACTGCAGAACATAACAGAATGGGATGTGAAGTCTACATGAAGCTCTGAGCCTGCTTCCTTATTTCTCAAATTATTTTGCAAACAAAGAATGAACTGTCTCTCTGTATTTCTCCCTGTATTTCTTCTGCACTCTGAAGGGGGTGTTACCAACATCTGATTATTGTTCATCACTCCCCAAAGTGTAGCTGCATTTAGCTCTCCCAGGAAGACCCCAAACCCAAGAGCACTCACATTTCTTTTCCCTGCACTGCCTCCAAAGCTAAATAAAATGAAACTGATTATTTGAATTGGTGTGGATTCATGATAAAGAGCTGCCAGATCACAGATCACCAGATCACCAGATCACAATACATCACCCAGAGAAGAGGTAAGACTTAGAATATGCTCATGTGTTTATAATGTGCAGAAATGCTCTGAGCCAGCTGGGCACGTTGGCACATCCAGCCAGCTCCATTTAGCACCATGCAGAAACAGCAGCTCAGCTGCCCAAACCAGGCTATGCATGGCTGTGCTCTGTCTAAACTAATTTCCTCTATTTCCAGAGGGTAAATTAGCCCATACTCAGATGCACACCACTGCAGCTCTACTAACACAAACCTAGGTTCAGTATTCCTGGATGGTATGGCACTGCCCAGTTAGATGTGCTATAAAACAAGGGAACTACAGCTCTAACCAGGAGATCTGGGTCCTAGTTCCAGCTACAACCTGTTGAGAGACCTCAGGCAGGGCCACCCACTGCCACTGTGATGCCAGGGGGTACAGCGGTGCTTCTCTGTCATTGTACAAGGGCTTTGGGAATGCGGGATATAAAACTTGCATGTAAGTGCAAAGCAGCAGTAAGAACGAACACATCCAACTGAAAACTGCTCTGTAATATATCAAGGTAGCACTAGAGACCAAAAATGCCTATTTTTTTTTCCAGCCACCCATCCTGATTGCTAAATATGGCTATCTAGACAACAATATATTTAAAGCGAAAAAGCAGCCAGTAAACATTATGCAGCCTTCCTACCCAGGAAATAATATTAAGATTGTGGCTGAAAGATATTCCCAGCAATTCCAAACTGGCATCATCGCACTAGGCAGCAGACAACTGCAAGTGACAGAGCAAGTTAGTTCTTATTCTCAACAGAGAATTTCTCAGTGATTAAGAAGCTCTGGGATACATTTTTTCCCTGTGTGCCCTAAACCACTTTCTGCTTTAGGATGGTGAGTTTTACAGCCCTGCTGCTCTTGCTGGCACTACCAGGTAAGGCTCAGACACTCTTCATTTCTCCTAGGAACAGGATGCTCTCTGTGCTATTGCATGCATTGCACATAATAATGTGCAATAATAAACTTGCATGAGCACTTTTTGTTCAGGCCATCTATAGCCAGGCACAGAATGAGATTCCCAGAAGTCAATGAGACGAGGAAACGTTCAGACTGAAATTTGCTTATTTTAATTATACAAGCTTTTGGGTTCTCATTTTTGTTTATAGTAGTTCTGTATTTTGTCCAGAAACTGAACTTCATGATGGGACACCTGGCAATCTTTGCCCTTCTGAGACCTTTCTCTCCCACTATCGCAAATTCTCAGTCTGAAATCACCTAGCATATGGGGAGGAAAATCTGTGGGTTTTGCTCTCTCCTGATATGTAATGGACCAGGTATTGTCATAGATGCTAGCTGCTGTTTTCTTTCTTATTGTAAATAAATAATGAGTCCGCAAAGAGGAACAATAGGAATAAAAATAGAAAAAGGGTAGTGGCACTAAGGCTAAGCATAGATGTTTATTTAGGCAAACCTACAGACTTACATTACTCTTCTCAGAGGTCCAGCATGAGAATCCCAGTGGTATAATGTAAGAAAAACTGGCATACTAAGCTATGACTAGTTGTAGAATAATTTTCTTCTTTCTTTGGAAGAAGAGGACACACAAGTGTTTCTGCATACAGAGGGAGAGTCCTCCAGAGATCATTACTCATATGACGTGCACAAGAACTTACATGACAAGAAATTTTGGTGCAAGGAGCTGTCAGAAAAATCTTGTCCAGTCTTAGCCTTGAGTTCCCCTTTAAAAGAAAGGATTAACCTTAACTGTGCACTGCCTCGTTCAGTTGACCCGATAAGACTCTGGATGAGGCTGGTTTTCTGTGATCGTGACAGCACTTCAAAGAGAAAGTTCTGGCATATATCAGTGTGGGGTGATCTGAAGAATATTCTGCTGCAAAGAATACAGATGATGGTTTCACTTGAGGGTGAGCTATGAGGCTAACAGTGCACTGGGTGGGAGACAGACAAAAGAAATAAAAAAAGCTGTGTCATTTCCATTTTTGTTTCACAGCAAAACACAGTGTATCTAGACACAGAGATTCCACTAGAAGTTATCAAGGACGGCATAAAACTCTATTATATAGCTCAATATAGAACCACAATATGTATCTATATGCACCTAGAGGCAGAAATGTTCAGGGAATTAGTTTTGCCATATGAAATCAAAATTTTTCAAAGGAAAAAAAGAAAATAATCAATAATTTACAGATTACCATAAAAAACATTAATACAATTTTGTAGGCTTGTATTAATCAAAAACAAATGGGTTTAGGACAGAAATATTTCAAGTAAGTAGATGAAAAATAAAAACCAATACTTCCTTTTGCACAAAATTTTCTATTCCATTAGAAGTGTTTTACAGTCACAGAAACCTATCACACAGAAAAGCTTTTATAACTCACTCAGAAGACTCATCATATGGAGCAACACCATCTGAAGATTGAATACCTGCATGAAGCATAAGAAATATGCTAAGGTGGCTCCCTGTCCCAGCACTTGGGGAATTTAACAGCAGTAAGAGCCCTGTTCAGAAAGGGCAGCAGTAATCCAAATTTCCCATTTGCCACCCCAACCTCATCTCCAGTGACCACCCTCCTCAGACTGGGGCTGGTTACTTCATTGTCTCCTGCAAGTTCTCTTTGTGCTAATGTTAGCTCTGCTTCTTTGTTGGGAGAGATGTACACTGCCATGGGGATTGTTTCTTCCTGTGTTTTCTCCCTCAAATGTACCCCCACTCTATTTTCTTTATAACCTGTAAGGCTATTTACAAAAAATGGAACTCTCTGTCCCTCCATTGCTCCTGTTCTGTGATAACCAAATCTGGAAACTTCAACATTTTATTTGGTGCCAAATGGTGTCCCAAATTAGATGTCAACCTATTATCAGAGGCAACTCTGATCAAAGTATCGTTAAAATAGGAAGGACTGAAATGATGAATGACTTCTCATGGAAAATGATTAGAGTGTGGCTGAAAAAACTCCAACTTAATGACTCAGGAGAATATCATCTTGAGAGCCATTTCCAGGGGAGAAACAAACTATTGAATAGGATCATGTTGGAAGTTTTAGGTGAGTTAATCAAAGAATTAATGAATGATCTTCGAAAAGTCAGCAATTTCTTACCACTTGACAAGAAAGATTACAGGTCAATGTTAAAGAGCTCTCTTCTGAGCCTGGAAGTTTCCTGAGACACAGATAATTCCTGTATTTCTTTTTTTTTAAACAGATTTTGGTACATACTAATGGGATAAACAAATTGCAGCCAACGTGGGGGGGCAAGGGGGAAGTCTGGCTTGGCTTCATTGACTAATGAAATTCTACATTTACATCAGTAGATGAAACAGACTCCAAGCAATCTGAATCTTTGCCTGAATTTCTACCTGACTTCATCTCTTTGCCACTGCTCCATTAATAGACTTCCGTATCTGTTTTAACACTTTACTTCCTTTTCTACTTTTAGCCAGCACAGGAGGCAGAAAACCAGAAGATGCTTAGTGGAAACTATTGTTTCTGATGCGACTGAAAAATGTGTGTGTGGAGGGGAATCACATGATGCATCTTGTTTCTAAGATGCTTCCTCCCTAACAGCATTCAAGTGCCCAAAAAAGCAGCTCATTTTTCATATAATTCTCTAAAACGGTATGAATTTTCATGGCTGGCCTATACCTTCTACAAAACTTGTCTCCTGCAGCAGATGTCCTTCTCCTTCGATCTGTCACAGGACGCAAACTTGTAAGGAAAGC